GATCGAAAAAATGACGAAAGAAAAAGAAAAAGTATGAAAGTCGACACTTCATTTATCGCTATGCCAAGTAACAATGCACGCATTGATTTTTTTTCTCTTTTTCTTGCATATGAAAGTATTCTCGAAAAATTTAGCAAAACCAGGCAATAGAAAATCATAATTGTTTCTTTATAGATAACAATTTGGTACAATTGAAAATAGCCATTCAATAACTTAAAATTAAGAATTATTTTAGATGAAACTTAATTTTCGAACGCATATATTTCAAGTTAAACCACTGCTGACTCATGGTCAGTCTTCTCAAAAAGAAGCAAAGAAATTTCGAAGTAAGTTCTACATACTGACTCATTATAGGATATATTTTTATTTATCTTTATTGAAATAGGAACGAATGATGACAAGTAAGAAGAACGAAATTTACATTGTAAATAGATTTTTTTTTCTGTTTTTCAGAGAATTAGTTAGTTGTTTTGAAAATTTATCAAATGAACTTATCTATGAAATTCTTGATTATCTTGACGGTTATAAACTATATAAAGCATTTTCAAATCTTAATAATCGCTTTGAAGCACTAATCAAATGTTCATCTTATCGACTAAAAGTGGATCTTCGTTTTCAACCAGAACCTATCTTAGAATATTGGTCTATCTGCATTATCCTTCCGAACAAACATCGAATCATTTCACTTAGCTTGGACAATATTCTTGTACATAATTCATATCTAACATTATTTAATATTAATTCATCATTTAGTCAGCTTGAGTCACTAACGTTGGGTAGTATCATGTCAGAAGAACTCATACCTCTTCTCATAAGCTTGAACTCTCTACCTCATCTCTCCTCATTGTATATCTCTTATTGTAAAGATGGTAGACAAGTTAGCAATATATATCAACGAATTTTCAACTTACCCATGTTAAAGTATTATAAATTCTCATTTTTCGATCCAGAATGGCGTATTACTCTATCAGTAACTATCAACGAGCAATTTAGTGGTATCAAATATCTTGTTATTGATCATTTTTGTACTCTCGATGAAATAATTACTATACTTTTATGCACACCTCAACTTTGTCGACTGACGTGTAAACAAGTAGATGAATCGAAAAAAATCATTGTAATAGATGCACTTAAAACGATATTTAGTCTGACTCGTATTTCCATCAGTAAATGCTACGCAAATTTTGATGAACTAGAAATGTTTCTCATCAATATATCACCTCAATTACAAGTATTACGTATTAATACTTTCAGAGATGTGACTTATTTGGATGCTAATCGATGGGAACGAATTATTTCACAACATTTACTTTATTTAAATATATTCGAGTTTCAATACGAAGAATCTATTTATGGAGAGTTGGAAGTAACTGATTATCATGAAAGTCTTAATAAATTCAACTCATTATTTTGGATAAAACGAAAATGGTTCTTTAAAATTTCTATTGACACACACAATTGGAACACGAATTTTATCGTCTATTCCATTTTTCCATACAGGTTTGTTGAAAAGAATTACTTTTCTAAAACAAATTTTTATCTTTGTTTTTTTAAGACCAATACGAGGTAACTCTCATGAAGACAAGGAAGACGCTGAAATTTTCAATAATGATATCGGTCAAAATATGATGCATCATAGTATCATTCCCAATGAACAAGATTCTATCACTTCTTCTGAAATGCTTTTTGAAACTAATCAATCAATGAGTCTCGATCTACGTAGTACTACATCATGTGAAACTCTATTTGACATAATCGGTCGCATTGTAACTTGGGTAGAAATAACCTCTTTGAAAATTGCGCGTCATGAGATTCTCATTGGCACGTTAATGAACCTAATAAGATGTTTACCTAATCTTGATTCATTAATAATTTTATCTTTAAGAACGGTACAAACAGGATTTTTACGTATTCAAGAAATGAGAACTCTTCTTATGTTATCAAATAACAACAAAATTACTAAAGTCAATCTTCAACGAATGAATGACTTAACACAAATTCAGCTCCTTCTGGATCTATGTCTTCATATGAAGTATTTGAAGGTGGATTGTACAAATGATGTCTCACCCGAAAACGTTGTACGATTCATTTTAATGAGAAACCTCAAATATAGTTGTAATCTACGGTTACTCTGTCTTAAAACTTCACCAACGAATATGAACATTGTGGACATATTAAAAAATATAATCGACTTTGAACAATTATGTCAAAACTATACAGTCAAACAAATAGACAATAGGATTTATTTACGATTAAACTTATGATAATTTCACGGTTTTATAAATTTTTTCATAAAATATAAATTTCACATGTAGAAAAAATTTTCTAGTCACTTGTTATTCAAACAAATGTATAAAACAAAGATTTGATTAAGCAGGTAGGAGAATTTAATGACAGCTTTGAGTTTTGCCATTTAAGCTTCGTCCTATGAACGGAGTCAAATACAATCATGACTGTATTTTATACAGAACAAATATGCCATAGAATGATATCACTTTGGAACAGTTTCAGTACAAAACTTGAAAGGAAATATGTCCAAGTGTCAAATCGTTTTTGAGTGAGAACGATTGGTTTATCGCTGTTGAGGTATCACATTTTCACGGTTTTTTCAGTACAGTGTGGTGGTTCCTATTAGGAACAGGAACAAAACTATTTTGGGTGGGTGTGGGATGTGGGTGTGTGCTGTGTGTTTTGGTTTCATTGATACCCACACCCACACTCACACCCACATCCACACCATCCAAACCCACACCCAACAAAACGAAATTACTAGAGCATTTTCGGAAAAAGCATTTTACATATGGCAGCAATAGAAACTACAATTATCGGAATTGCATAATAAAATTTTGATCGTGGTACCCGAACATTCTGATATTTACGATCTAAAGAAGAGAAACATTATTTGTAATTTTCTCTTATAATTAAATAAATGAAATAATTTACTTTGATTTTCAAATGTATATTGATCAATATCATTATCTTTTAATTGATTATTATCACGAAACGATACTAAAACTTCTGACGCAGCGCGTCGTCCAGCATCAACTGCACCATCCATGTATCCCATCCATTGAGTAGCTGTTTCTGTACCAGCAAAATGAATCATTTTATATGACTTTCTTAAACCATCAACAAAATCTTTCATAGATCCTGTTGTTGCATTATGACATGGGCATCCACCTGAATATGGTTCTACATTCCAATCTTTTTCAACATATTCAATTAAATGTGTGGAAATTTTATGACCACCAAAATATCGAGAAAGACATTCAATTAAACCTTTACGTCGTTCTTCATGTGTTGCACTTGTCCATACAGAAGCACATCGACCACCAATAAAACCTAGCAAAGCAGGTGTACCATTGGAACTTGTACCATCAATCAAATCTAGATAAAAGAAAAGAGTTGGTTAGTGCAGCCTCGTACTATCTGAAATGTGACATTCCTACGAGTTTTTTAGTCTCGTTATTCTAATAGAAAACACTTAACCTGAAAAATGGTCTCTTATTTATTTTTGCACTTCAAGTAGAAGTTTTTTTTTTTGTTTACCAGCGGTGTATTAATTGTGTTCTTCGTTGCTATTTTTCTTTTTCGCATTCCATTTTTCTGAATTTTACATTATTATTATTTTAAAAATTGATTGAACTGGCAAATAAGTCTGTTGTAAATATCGATAAAATCTACTATAGGTTTCAACACACTATTCTATATTTCTATGAGTTCAAAAACACTGATAGTAATTATTTCCTTAAGTTATACCTTGATTATTTTACTCTTTTCTATATTGACCATATAATGACTGTGACAAAACAATTCTTTACCACCCATCATCCTTGAAATCATTAATATAGACTTTGATTTGCGCAAAAATCAGAAGCTAAGCTATTTAGAACATTCAAAAGCGTATTTCAGTCATTCAAAAATTTCAATGTGAGCTTTGGAAATTTTTAGAACAACCAATAATGCTTTTTATCGCCTTTTTCATTGCTAAGGGACTCCAAGAAACGAGTCAGACGCCTGTTATCCTCAGTTGATAAGGTCTACAATGAGGAGAGAGCCGCAAAACTTCGACGTAAAACATATCGTCGCTATTTTCTTTGGAAATATATGTAAGTTTCACAAAACCATAAAGGTAATGATTATCCTATTGAATAGCTTGCATATTAACTTACAAGTCATTGGGCCAATAGAATGTCCATGTGGAGCAAAACTTCCATCACTGATTACTTCTCCACTAAGACCATCTTCTCTCCAGAATGCCTATTTATATTAATTAAAAAAAACATATGATTTGTAATAAAATAATAAAAATACTTTATCAAAAATAAAAATAAATTTTATACAACAGCCAATGGGCATATGTTTTAACATTTCACGTTTATATCCTGGTAACATCGGTTCAAATTGTATTGGAACTAAACAGAAAAATAAATCAACAATCAAGGAAATAAAACAACTAACTTATTTGCGAAGGTGGAATAGCTAAAATAAGTTTACGACATTGAAATGTTTTGTGATTTTGAGTTGTAGTCACCAAAACAGTACCTGAAGAAGAAAAGTATCACCAAACAGATCAATTATACAAAA